AGGATAACACAAGAACATAAGATTTAACGTGCCAAAATCTGGGAAAAATCCCGGCTATGGGCAAAGAAGTACAAAAGAATCTTGCAAGACTCTCAACCTATCTCAAAATATGGGAGTCTCTTTCCCTGTTCTGTTTTCTGCTTCCGGCGCTTAGCGTCGTGACCTAACGCCCCATCCCGCCCCTAACACCTTCCAAAAGTGTTTTTCTTCATTCCAAAATCCTTCCAATCAAAATTTCAATTCTTGATATCATTTGATCCCTTTTCAAATTGGACCTACAAACCAAAATTGTTTATGCCTCGTTTATCAATCAAACAATCCAAACCTAATCCAAATAGAAATTTGTGTCATATTCTAACAACTATCTATATTCTCAACTAAGTAATTTCATGAAACCCATTTTTATTTGAGAATTAGCTCACTCTTTAATGGGTCTCATTTGCAACGATGGTCATTCTTAGAAGGATGCCAATTCTTTGATACCGATTGGCACAAAGCATCTTATAAAAGGAGAGTGTCAAAGTGATTATAAGCCTACATGTCAAGCCTTAACTATGTGGCACACATTTCGAGTCGTTACATTCGAGAAAAAGAATCTAGTTAAATATAACACCGATGTCTGGCATTGATTTGTAATATGAACTAGCTCCAGGGTCTTTACTCAGTGTATAGGTTAAGATGGAGGCTCCAGGGTCTTGCTTCAGAAGAGGGTGTCAGTGTAGTTATATTATGCGGGAAGGAGGCATCTCAATAATGTTACTTAGGGACGTGCTTGTTTGGAAAAATTTAAAATGCTGTTAAGTCAAAGTCAACCATTAATCTTAATTACATATTGCATAGGTTCCACAACTTTTCAATCGCAAATTTCATTAACTTTTATCAAAAACTATTAAAAATCTGATTTAAATCCTCGTCAAACAGTGTTCAAGATGTCAAAGTCAATAATTAATTTTTACACGTAATTCATGAATTCATAACTTTTATCAGCTTTTCAAAAACACATTCCATCAACATTTATCAAAATATACCGAACTTTTATCGAAACCTTTGTAAAATAACCCCTATAAATATTCCTAGCTAAGCTATAAATAAGCACTAGATTAACTTTTCAATCACAAATTTCATTAACTTTTATCAAAAACTACTAAAAATCTGATTTAAATCCTCGTCAAACAGTGTTCAAGATGTCAAAGTCAATAATTAATTTTTACACGTAATTCATGAATTCATAACTTTTATCAGCTTTTCAAAAACACATTCCATCAACATTTATCAAAATATACCAAACTTTTATCGAAACCTTTATAAAATAACCCCTATCAATATTCCTAGCTAAGCTATAAATAAGCACTAGATTAACTTTTGTTCATCATGCAACCCCACTAAGCTGTATGAGAATTAATTATTCAAATAGTTTTGTTTTCTTTTACATTTGTAAATAAAAATACTGTAACTGAGAATTATGGCATAGTTTCTCACAAAAACAGCCCTAACTTTAACAAAATTTATATAATTAAACTTGTTTCCTCTTTAATAATTAATATTTTAGATGAACTCAGTAGATTATCAGAGGACGTTACCATCCATTTCTTAAATTTGAGAACGTATTAGAAATTTGATTAAAATTGAAGATAAAATTTAGACAAACGAGTCAATAATATATAAGTATATGTTGCTCCAATTATTGAAGTAGATACAAATGGATCATCAATCACCATAGGCAACAATCTTAACTGCCCATTTTAATTTTTTTATACATAAAGAACCAATAATGTGTATTTCCTTTTCAAAGCACGCCATTGCCAACTTGACAACCTAGCTAGACTATTGAATATGTTTTATTGCACAATATTGTCTAATCGAGTCCTACGTTGGAAGCATGCCCTCCCATGCAAGAAACATTCTAAATATAGCAGCACATGCTGTCTTAATTATATGCATTCTAACTCAATTATTCATATCAAATGTGAGATTAATCTGTATAAAAATTCCATATGGAACAAAGTTAACCATCTTTTCAGAAGTTGAATACCAATTTTATACCTTCTTTTTTGACTCAGCATGCAGTTAATCGAAAAGATAGATCATTCGATGTATATGTGTATATTCATGATGAAAATTATTAATAATGTAGAAAAAATAATAATTTTATATCCATGATCTTATCTCCATAGTATCTACAGTTGCAGAGGAGTCTGGCATTGACCGTTATACTTGAATTAAGAGAACCGGGCCAACCTTGTTCCTGGGAGAGCTTCATCGGTTTGTAATATATGATACAACTACAGTATTTTGTATGCATTATCATGGAAATGATTCATAAATGTATTTGCGTACTATCAGTTTGACTTTTCATCTTATTGCAGCCAATCTAAAAATACACATTGGATCACTTAAGGTTCCTCCTTGAACTAGTCGAAAGCGTGTTTTTATCCGAATCAAACAAGATAACACAAAAGGTCAACCCAAGACCGTACCTGCACAAGTTGACCCATAGGAAATGTCAACTGAAAATACAATCATAACACGATTGACAAGATATTCCTCATCGGATAACAACACTATTTATAACAACCAATCACAGAAAAGTAACGATACCCTAATGTACATGGCTACGAGCTAGGTATCACAATGACTTGTCGTCGTCGAACTTTCCAATCAATCAAATCTCTCCAAAAGGACAACAGCACACAAGCCTTATAAGTCACACAACTGTGTAGATTGACATGATTAGGATTGCAAACTCCAATTTGGTGGCCTATATAAACATATGATTGTCTTCTTTTAAAATAAAATTCTTTAATTCTTATACTCATTTTCAAACAAACATTCAAACAATAAAATATTTTGTACGTAAATTTAAAATGTTTTCCTAGTTTCTAACCACATATTCTAAAAAAATAATAATAATCACTATTCAAAACATCTTTTTCTTTCTCAATAATAGCCATCAAACATGGACTAAAGGGGTAGAAGCCATTAATGAGAAAGGTCGAGTTGTCAAGAGTCTTACTAAGCCCCTTTTTGACATCCTTGAAATTTGAAAAACATTGTTTTGAATAGTATATTTTGGAGAATTTGTGATTAAAATGTAAGAAATTTTTTTTGATTTACATATAAAATATTTTATTGTGTAAATGTATTGTTGAAAATGAGTATGAAAAATAAATTAAAATAAAATAAATGATATCAAACGGGAGCTAAACTACTTGTAATATAATTCCAACAAAATTTTCCCTATTATATTCAAGTTCCAGCAAATATAATACAATTATTTTGGCAAAACTTCTCTAAGGGTCCGTTTGATACCCTTAGTTTTCCAAGGAAAACATTTTCCATTTTCCCACTTTAATAGTGTTTGATAAACCAAATTTTGCATGAAAATTTTTTCTCACTTCTCCCTCACGCGTTGGCTTTTCCTCATTATCATGGAATTCCTTTTCTTTGGTTTTGGTAGGAATTCTGTTTT